AGAAATTGTTATATAACTATTAAAAGAAAAGGAGAATTGAAAGGATGTTTGTAAGAGAGCTGAATCCTTAATTACCAGGACAGAAAGGCAATATATTATCTCAAAACTTGATAAATTACGAAAAACTTATATATTAGTTAGAAATATGGATATAATCACTGGAAGAAGGAGTTGAAATGGTTGCTTTTTGGGATAATTAGATTGCTGGAAGCCAGACAGGAAAGAAAGTATGCATTTCATTAAATTCCTTTTAGGTATCTTTGGGTTTTTTTCCAAGTATGGACATATATATCTGTGGTTAAAAAAGAAAGAAAGAAAAATAATCATTAGATTGAAAATTAAAAGACGTAGGAATACTAACCAGAGTAAGTAATTCCACATTACCATAATTCTGTAATCTATAAGAAAATTGTTACTTACTAGCAGGAAAAAAGTACCATTTCATAACAGGAAAATTTTCAAGATGCATTGTTCAATAAAATAAGCAGATTATAAAATACAGCATATAAGGGCTGGGGTTGTGGCTCAATGGTAGAGCGCTCGCCTCACATGTGTGAGACCCTGGGTTCGACCCTAAGCACCATATACAAATAAATGAACAAAGTAAAGATATTGTAAAAAAAATACAGCATTTAAGATAACCCAGTTTTATAACAAAATTTATCTTTGCATGTATAGAAAAATTCAAGAAGATAATTCAGAAATGCCAAATACAGTTACTTGATTTCTTGGTAAATTTTTAAAAACTTTATATGAATGTATTGCTTCTGAAATTAGAAAATGATGTAAGAAAAACTGATGAGATAAAACTAAAGAGTTACCAAGTGATGTCATCCTTGAAAAGTCCATTTGTAAGTTATTTCTATGAACAAGACACCATTCTAAACTCCTTGGAAGCTACAAAGGTACATGATAGCATTTAATTTCCCAAGTAGCTCACAATGTTATATAGGAGATGAAAATGAATACCATGCATAAAAGACACAAATAATATAAGGTAGAAGAGTAAAAGTGTCCCACGCTTGAATGGCCAATACAATCACAGTTCTCTAGTAAGAAAGATCACTTTTAGATGGAAGGGCATTCAAGAGATTGTTGAGAACGAAGGAAGAGACTTGAAGAGGCAGAAATTGGATTAAGCCACTCAGAAACATACAAACAAACAACAACAACAAAACACCCCAAAAACCTAAGACTCAGAAGTGTAAGTGCAGGGTAATTTTGCTGAGATGGGAGGTATGCTTTGTGGCCAATTTGCATAGGATGCTGAAAACCACATAGAGCTATTCAGTAGAAGTTTGCCCTCAATGAAGGCAGTGTTCAAGAAGGGGGTAAAATAATTACACACAGGAAGAGAAACCCTATTTGAAACATATTATGCTAGCCCAGAATTTAAAGGAAGAGATAAACTTGAAAAACATTGAAGCAGTTGAGTTCACAGAAACTAGCGATATTTGGAAGTGAGAATAGGAGGCAACAAAAGTGGCCACATTATTGTGAGTCTGGATTATTAGACTAGTTGCCACACTAACACAAAAGGGCTGCTATCAGAATAAGGAGGGAGTTTTGTGGAGGAAGATAATTGTAGATATCTGAATGCAAAATTTGATTTCAGGGGACTATCCATGAAATGATATTTAAAAGGCCGTAGGTAATATAGTTTTGAATTTCAGTCAGTCACTCAGTAAATACATATCTTCTCCTACATTTTTAGTAATAAGTATGATAAGCATTATCAATTTATAAGTAAAACATCATCTTTGTCCTATGGAGCTCCTCGTTTGGACTAGGGAAAAACAGATATCAACTGGATCATTATAGAGCAACTGTCATGTCATGTATCAAAACAGATGTTTACATTATGTGGAAGGGAATCTCAAGATCATGAAGAGTGTAGGTGGCCAGCAGGAGTTCACAAACAGGGAATCATTCCACACATGATGTGGATGTTTCTTAGAAATGAAGACTTAATCTAGAGAGCAAAGAGGAAGAATATTATTCTGAAACCAAAATCTGGAAGAACGTGTTTGTCTACAAATTGGGAAGAGGTTGAGAAGCCAGTGAAGGCGAGCACAGAATCGCATTCCAGAAACAAAAAGGAGATTCAAGACACAAGGTGGTTTGGTGGTGACTGAGAAATTAGGAAGTTTTAGAATTGCTAAAAGTTCACTGGATTTAGTAATTAGGAGGCTATTGACTTTAAGATGTTCAATAATATCAGAATGACAGTGTTTTATTTGATGAGAATGTATAATAATAACCATTATAAAAACAAAAATTACAGTACAGGTCCTCTCCTATGACTATATATATGCTATATTTGTTGAGAAAATATGTGTATTTACTTACAAATAAATGAACTCCTAATTTGCAGATAAACTTGTCACGTAGAGAGTAACTATAAAGAATATCTCCTTGGACTTGATACTATTAAGAAATAATATCAAGGAACTGATAGGAAATGATCTTATGAGGATAGTTGGCCATTGCATTTGCAGGGGACGTTTGAAAAATATTTCCAAAGAGTATTCAGGCAGAATGTGGACCTTGAAGAAAACAATTGATAACAGTTCTTAGAAATTCTGAAATGCTACTCCTCCACCCACCCCAACCCCTACCCCAATTTTCTGACTACTATTTTTCCTTTATTGTTTTACTCTAAATGCTCTATCTCTGACAGAGTTTCCTGTTCAAATTTTTCACACTAAATATGGTCCCCATGTCATACTAGCACATTATTCATTTGTTCCATAGAACCAACCATAATCTGTAATACATTGTTTGTGTATTTATTGTCTGTCTTCCTCCCCTGGCTGTCATTTACCTAATATTAGGCGTCATGAGAATTTGTTCTCCACTTTGCCTTTCAGCTTCACCACAGTGTTGTTACAATTCAAATCTATATTGAATGAATGAAAGATAGGAAGATAAGGTAGAGTGTTCCCAAAGCAAATTTCTTGGAGATGGAATAGTTACAAGGCATGTCAAAGTCCAACATGTTACCCAGTATTTGAGTTGTTTGAGTAGTATGAAAATTAAAAGGTGAGAAAATTGAGGCTATACCTTTAGAACATTTGCTCAGATCCCCGTTGGACTCACTAAGAACAAGGAGGAGATGAAGAGAATGAAGTGATGTTTCAGAGTACATCCATGACAAAATGGAAGAAGTAGTAAAGTATATGGGTGGGTGGAAAATGCACTGAGAGCAGTGAAGAGTGTAGTGCCTTTTCCTCCTTGTCAGGGGAGTGGTGAGTCTGTGGATGGTTAGGAGGCAGGAGAAATGGAATGGAGCCATGTTTCAATTCAACTGAGGAGCCATGAAGGTTGCTCATTGAAATAAGGGGAAGTCTAGGAGGACATATTCACAGCAAAACAGAGGTATCATAAGACTGGGTAACAGGACTAACAAGTATTAGTTAGCTACAATATAAGTGTATATTATTAATCAGTTAATAGACACATTTAGTGTAAATTCATCGCTATTTCTAGAAAAAAATGAATAATGCTAATAGTAAACAGGGACTTTTTGTTATGTAGTTCCATATATTTATATTATTTACACTGTTTTGATTAAAAATATTTTCTTGTGTTCTTGTAGTGATATAATTCTGTACAATAGTCACATCTACTTATCAGAAATTATTGGTTCCGAAAAACACTTTGCCTAGTATTTTGTTAAATGACTAATCATGCCTTAAAAAACTTTTAAGAGAATTTACCAAAAAAATATAATTATGAAATAACTTATTTTATTTTGTATAGATCTCAAATACAACCTAAGGATTTTTTTTTTTTTTTTTTTTGGTTTTTAAAATTCAGTCCAGTGAAACATTCAGGTAGCTTGAGTACTTTGTTTTCTTATAGTATTTTAGTTTCTCTTGTGACCAGTCTCATCACCTGGGTTTGTAAGGTGACTGGAGTTAAGGGTGCTATCTTCTGTCATGAAAGAGTTGCCTGTCTTTTCTCTTGGCAAAACTCAGATTCCTGTGGGAGTCAAATGAGAGATGAGGCCTGATTAACGCTGTGTTTTATGACTGAGGGCTTTGGAACAGACCACCTGGCGTTTTTGTTGCTCTGTATTCATTTAAAACTAAGAATCCTAAGAGTCAAAGCGCTCAGTAAAATTCTCATGAATAATCATACATTAAAACCTCTTTCCATAGAGGTTGTTTTTAATCAATTTTATAAAGTTTTGTACAGGAATGTCATAGTACATATTTTAATAGCTATACTGAGATAATGGCTCCCTATTAAGGGAAAATTCATTTCCCAAATGTGAGATGTTTTAGAAAATATCACTTTCATTGTAACTAAATATGTCGGGCTTCCATAATTCCTGTTAATAATCCTGACTCCAACACCTACTGGCTAATTCTTAGTATTATAAAAGCATGCTGGTAGGGAAGAATACACTTATATGCTGCAAAGTTTTACATGTGTGAATAGTCATTACCAAGGTGGAAAGAAAAGAGAAACTCTCTACTTTTATCTGTACTTTTTCTCACCACTTGCGTCTTTTTAATCTTCTTGGTACCCATGAATAATCTCTTTTTGTTTAAACCATGACATTTTAAGTTGTTGCATTTTAATTTTTCTTTAGAAAAATGCCCTACTCTTACAAAAAAAATGTATCTAGGATACTCCTGATTTGTATTTTGAATGAGTCAAAGCTGACATAATTTTGTAAGTGTAAATGTGTTTAGAGTCAGATAATTTGAAAATTGATCATCGGTCCCACAGAGTCGGGAATACAGTCAGAACGTGAGTTTGATTCAGTATTTCCCCTATTGCTGAAGGTACCAGCTGCCTGTCTTCTTAGTGTATTTTAGTCTTAGTAGAAATTTATTATCTTTTCTTGCCTAAACAGGAATGTGGGAGGAGAAAGAGATATAAGTCTGAAAAGCATATAAATGCTTCCTCCAAACTGTCAAAAGTTAGCTGTTAATTTCGCTTTGGACGTGGATGAGACTCACGGCATCCTACCCTTGTTCTCTTTGCAGTGGGTAAACCTCACAAGTGCAACTACTGTGGACGAAGCTACAAGCAGCGCAGTTCACTGGAGGAGCACAAGGAACGCTGCCACAACTATCTCCAGAATGTCAGCATGGAGGCTGCTGGGCAGGTCATGAGTCACCATGGTGGGTAGCAATAGCGTCGCGATTTTCATGCCCTCCTGTGCTGCTCCTGTAGTCTTTTATGGGCTAAATAGTTCCCTCCACCCTTCAACATGAAGATCAAATCTTACTCTGTTTCAATTTAGATCATATTAACTTTGTATGGGATTATCTTTTTAAACACTTGAAATGAGCTGAGCTTTGGGATACATCCATACGTTGCCAACAAGCTCTACTGAGTTTTTATGATACTCCCAAATTACTTCGGATAATGTTTGAATTCATGTAACACTGGCAGCCAGTCTTTACTACGCCAAGGGAAGCTACTGTTTTCTCTAACCAAACGTTAGAAATGGTTCCACACAAAGCTGTAGGTCTCCAGAAAGAATGAATTGCTTATTTGCATTATTTCTTGTGTTGGGAAAATATTCAGTGATATAATTTGAATTTTCTCCAATCTATCTTATAATGAATCTGAGAAATTATTAATTTTGCTTTCACATGTGTGAAACATGATTTAGACTAAACTTTGACACCATCACCCTCCTAAAAAAACATTCTCTAAGCAAAACAGCCTGATCTCCACAATACACAGTGACAAGAAGGTTGTCCTTAAGGCTCACGAATTCATAAGTCTCAATTCACAAAAAGTCAATTTTAGTAAGTCAGCCTTACAAAGGAAAGTGATGGATTTCAGTTCTTTAGATTTCTACTTTCTGTCTTGCCTAATTATATATACATATATTATATGTGTGTGTGTATATATATATATATATATATATATATATATAATTTGTAATTGTAGTTGGACACAATAACTTTATTTTATTTATTTTTTTATTGTGGTGCTGAGTATCAAACCCAGTGCCTCACACGTGCTAGGTGAGCACTCTACCACTGAGTCACTACCCCACCCCCTAATTATATTTTTATACTGACTGATTTTATTATTCATGTGAATTCAAAAATCTTATTGATATATTTCTATCTTTATTTAAAAATCGTTGGCTGAGGGGCTGGGGATGTGGCTCAAGTGGTAGCACGCACCCCTAGCATGCGTGAGGCACTGGGTTCGATTCTCAGCACCCCATAAAAATGAAATAAATATATTGTGTCCACCTAAAACTAAAAAATAAATATTTTTTAAAAATGGTTGGCTAATATTGAATGGTAGTTTTCTTTACTTACATTTAAAAATACAAATATTCTTTTATTGGCTTAGATATAGTACCTTGAGGATAATTTATGGTTTTTTTTTTTTTTTGGTTTATGTTTTTATGGGTTTTATGGGGATGTGCTTATTAGATCAGTATCTAATAAATTATATAATTGTTATAAAAATTTTTAATTTCTTTAAATTTTATTAAACTATAAAATTATTTGTTGTTGAGAATTAAAATTTTAAATGTTTGTTGTTATTCTAAATAATTTACATATTTCCTTGTATTAGGATAGGTTCTGTAATCTAAAGAATCTGATTTAATTCCATTAGTTGTTATGATTGAGTCCATTTATTTTTATATTACTAACACTTTTGTTTGTATTTGAACTCTTTTTGTATTGCAAGTTTTATTGCCTGAGCATGCAAGCATGACATAGGGCCTACAGCATAGAGGTTATAAAATGGTGGGCTGTGAAGTCCAGTCACCCTGGTCTGCTGCTGTAGTGTCATAGGCATAGTGTAAGAAGTAAATGGTATCAGATGTATAGTAAACACCCCCCAAATAATTCGTACATTTTAGGACATTAAATACTAAGAAACAGAAATCTGTCCTCCCCTATAATGTCGTCACTTGCCACTGTTAAGAAGTACAGGTTCCCTTGACCTCCTTAGAACACTGTTTTGGATTTAAGGATTGCCTAAGTCAGGGGACTCATGGAGATCGGGAGCATTCCAGAGCTTCCCAGAGATCCCTTATGGCATCACTACTACTTTTCCTGTTTTCCCACTGTTCTAACATTTGATTGGAATAACATGCACATTCTGTTGATTATTTTTTCCATTTAGTTATTTATGAAACTCCAAATGGCTTACATACCCAAATAATCAAAATAGAGTTTCTCCTAAAAGATTTTATATTAGTGCAGGAAAGTAAGGTATAAATAAATAATTATAACCAACATTTGGCTCATTACACTGTCATAGAATTAATATTGACAAAAAAGTTAGGTGTATTTTGGGAAGAGAAAAAGACGTCTTGTAAACAATTGGGACTTCGGTATTGCCCTTTATTTCCCAGATTTCTTGGATCTTTTCAGACACAGGCCCTTTATAAGTGGTGCCAAAGCTGGGACAGAGGAGGACAAGTGGGACAGAGAAAGAGGGAAAGCCAAGGAGAAGTAGAGGAGGAAGATAATTCTTGATGTCATGGATAGAGTTGAATATTTGTTCTTAAATACTAGATACCATTTTAACCACATTAACCATAATATGAATGCCATTTTCTACCATACTTTTCTAGGTTTGTTGTAACAATAATTTGGGGTCATCATTAATCTCCTTTTTCTTTTATTGACCTGCTTAATGAAGAGTTGACTTTATGAGGTAGGAGTTGATACATCCATGAGAGAGAAAACTGTATGTAGAAACCACATAAGTTCATCATTAATCTTGTCACACACACACATAGCATGGCCAAGGTCTCCTTTTCAACAGAGCCACAATAAAATTCATATTTATCCCATCCCTCTCTTCTTTTCCTGCTATATATTATCTACTTCTTTTCTTTCCCTTTTAGTGGTAGGAGTTAGGGTTGCCAGTTAGTGTGGTTGCTGTTAAATCTATAAAGGGAATTTTTGTTCATTTCTAATAGAGTTATTTTTCCTAACATCTCTTTTCCAAAACAAGTTCATCCCATATTGGCTCTTCTATTAAGGAAATGTCTGAAGGAAAAAAAAAAAAAAAAAGACATTCTTCCACTTCATTCAGAAAACATTTATTGAGGGCTTGCTTGCTCTTTGCCAAGATCTATGAAACATTTAGGGAATTTAAAGATAAATGAACACAATGTCTTTTGTATACTTACATTCTGTTAGGAAACACATACATTTTAAATATAATAAGATGAAACAAAGCAAAATTGTTAATAAAGATGTGTTTGCAGTTTGGGAGCATGGATGTAGGGGTAGCCTGATGGAGAAGACAAAGAAAGCTTCTTATATGACACAGTGTTTTGATATGAGCATTAGAGATGGTAAGAGTCACAGGTATCTGACAGGACACAGAGGCTGCTCATTCCATGCAGAGAACAGGGAAGAGGCTTGAAGGAATAAAGAATCCTTAACAGATTCTTTGACACTGGGTATGATTGGAGCTAAAGGAGTGGCAGGAAATAAGACTGAGTTTAGGAGACCGTAATGCAGAAGCAGAGCCTTTTTTACTAATGAAGTCTCAACACTACATAGTGATGGGAAACCACTGGCTAATCAAATGTGCATATTTGAGACACAAATGTCACCGATGTAGAATAGAGGACTGACATCTGTCTGGCGCAGGGCGTGAGTGTGAGGAGAGACCCAAAGTGATAGTGCCAAGGAAAAGATGAAGGCGCAGTGGTGGGACAAGACTCTGAGAGGAACATTAAAAACATATTTAGGAAGTTGAATAAAAAGTTTTTATAAATGTTGATTGATTTCGAGGAAAGGAGAGGAATTTCATGACTTTTAGTTTCGGAAATACAGATAACAATGAATTGGTTTTCGTGGCAGATTATTTATCTTATTTCTATGTTGTCTTTATGCTCATTTTTCATGACTGTTCAGCTTGAAGACAAAGCTTTAAAAACCAAACTGTGTAATTAATTGCCTTCTTTCCACAAGACAAAAATCAAAGTGTGAACCAGAAAGTCAGCCAACTTGAAAGCTATGATTTCATAGGTTTGCACTTTGGATTATTTTGGAAAGGGCGGTTCTTTTCCCCAACCATGGAGGTATAATTGAGAGTTTACAAACTTTCTATTTAGTTTTTTTGTCTTATTTCCATTGTGTGACATCATTTCCTTTGGTAAGTTATATTGTAAAGATCCATTGAATAGAGTGTCTCACATAGAAAGTCAAATAAATTGCCATCTCTGAGGCTTTTACCAAATATTGGAAGAAACAACCAATAAACCAACAATTAGAGCACCGTGTGGCAAGTGTCACAGGGCACAGAGGACAGGTACCTAAATCAGACTGGATTTCCAAGAGGAATTTCTAGGGGAAGTTATGTAAAGTTTGAAAGGTAAAAATAACAAGCTAGTAAGTGGAGCGGGGCATTTCATGCAGAGTGAATAGCATATATGAAGAAACAGAAGTCTAAAAGACCACGGAGAGCTAAGGACCTGATAGGAAATTTGTACATTTGGAGCCCAATTTGTAAAGACAAGAGAAGGTTGTGAGAGTAAAGATATATGTTCTGTACCAAACATCCAGGGCCTACTGTTCTAGGCAAAGAATTTTGTACTTTAACCTAAAAGATAGGATTACAGCAAAGCGAGTATCAGCACTGTTGAATGCTGTCAAGAAAATAACTCATGTAAATGAGAAGTTTTGGTTTTAGATTTAGTGACATGGAGAAAACTTGTGACAAAATTCAAGACATCTGTTTTGCCTGCCTGATGTCCCTTCCCTCTTCTCTTGATAATATGAGTTCCACGTTCCTTTTTGAGAACTTTCTCCCATTGCATGCAGCTATTGGGGATGTCAGTGCAGTTCCGCAGCCCTGTCCTGTCCAGGGGTATACCTGTGACCTAATATAGGTCCTTCGTTCTGTTTCTTCTTGGAATTTGAATTTTAAGATAAAAACCAAACAAAACCAACCAACCAACAAATGAAATGCATGTTAGGGCCACTGTGGTGGTGCATGCTTATAATCCCAGCTACTTGGGAGGCTGAGGCAGGAGGATCACAAGTTTGAGGCCAGCCAGGCCAAGTTAACAAAACCCTATATCAAAATAAATTTTTACAGAGGGATAGAGATGTTGCTCTGTGGTAGAGTTTCTGTCTGGTATGCACATGGTCCTGGATTCGATCCCCAGACTGGAAGGAAGGAAAGTAAAAGCTATATTGGGAGTACTATTATGGTTCTGCCTTTATGGTTCATCAATGTGACGAAACAATGATACAATGCAAGTATAAAAATAAATAAGGTCAAAAAAGATCTTTGATTATGAAGTTTGCTCAAACAAGTGAAGTTAAGCACATTGGTATGTTTTTAGCCTAGCTAAATGTCTTACAATAGGATAAATGCAATTGAGATGTCAGATACCTAGAGAATTTGCTTTGTGTTTTAAGCAGTATATATACAGAAACATTTTGTTGAGTTGCTCCCAGATTCATGAAAGTGAAAAAAATCAGATTACGTGATTACATAATTGAGTAAAAGAGTATCAGTTTTTTTCCATTAACAGATATGTCAACTGGTTTATAAGATGTCAGTGTTTAAGAGACATCTACAAAGAACAGGATAGCATAGTGGTTAAGAGGTCAGGTTCTGGATCCAGACCTCCTAGTAATAACATTCCCTCCTAACTAGAAGTAAACACAACATGGAAGAAATTACTTAAGGTAGCCAGATTTTTGTTTCCCCTCTGTAAAATAAGATGGTAATGACACCAATTTCATGGGGTTTTTGAAAGAATTAAAAGAATTATTAAATGTGACGTCTTAAAATAGTACTTAGCACCTAGTATATACCCGTTATTATTGCTGGCATGGTAAAAGATCAATTTGGGCCATAAGGGCTGTTATAAAGAAGAGATTAAACCAGAGCTCTGCCAAAGTCATTGTTTTCAGTTTACATGAGCTTCATTGAACTTGGGACAAATCATCTGAATTGAGGTGGATGTGGTGTGGGACAGTTCCCACACCCAGGTTTCGTTTTGAGTGTTAAATGTGTGCAAATACGAAAATTCAGGGTAAGACTTAGACCAGAACTGCCAAGTTTTAGATTACTCATTTCAGAACTAGTTAGCATATTCAATTTGGGGGGCAAACCCCTTTAACCACTTTTGCTGTTTTTTTTAGCAAAGTTTACGACAATTTTTTTTCTTGCAAAAATTTTTTCATTTTGAATCTAGGTCTGTGATATATTTTCATCTTTGTTTCACCCATGAACTACTTTAGTTTTGGAGTTATTTTAATAATGCAGTAAATTCCTGTGAATCTACTACTCCTTCTCCAAAAAGTTAAGATTTTGACCATAATCTGTTTTTCATATGACCTGGCTCCCCACCACATCACCATTCCATTCTCCTGACCATTTATTCTAAATTGTGTGGTCATTCTTGATTGTTTTAAAAATTCTTTGCTTTCTTTTTAGAATCTCTTGATTTTCTCTTAAGTAATTTTTTTCTTTTAGTTGTTGACAGATTTCATAATACTGGGCTTGGTGGTGCACACCCATAATCCCAGCTACTCAAAAGCTGAGTCTAGTAAGACCCTGTCTCACAATATTTTTAAAAGGCTGGGGATGTAGCTGAGTGGTAGAGCACTTGCTTATCATGTATGAGGTCCTGGTTCTACTTCCAGAAGAAATAAAGAGGGGTTGGGGGAGAAAGAGAAAGTTACAGGTAATGTTTTGAGATACACATTTCTCATTGATAATACCCTGATTAATTTTGGTATAGAAAATTACCTATGTTTCCTTCTTACTGAATCTCTTTTTGGAATTGTTTTTCCATATTAATATCCAATAGTTGCAATATTTCTTGCTATTTATAGCCAGAATATCTCTTATTAAACATAGATTGAAGATTAACTTTTTCTGGCCCATCCAATCTATGTGTTATATAGATTGAATGTTAATTTCCTTAAATTGTCCAAACTAAGGAAACCTTTCGTGATGCTATTTTTCATTTCTTCAAAATTAGCAACCTGCTAGTGGCTATTAAATGAGTTACCTGAATTGGACATTCAATTTTCTTCCCTTTCATCTTTGCTTTCTTACTTGTAGTGCATAACACCAGGATCCCCTTATGAATGAGAATACATTATGTTTCACACAGTGGGACTATCCTGTACAAATTAATGGACCAAAGTAAATAATTTTTCAGTGCATGCTGAATAAGTAAAGATAGCTAAAGATATAGAACCTTTAGGTCTTTCCTTTGAACATTAGTTTTAATCAGATAAATCTGATTGAAAATGTTACCCTATTCTTAATTCAAAATCTTTGGCCAGTATTTCTACTCAAAAACAACCTTTATTATCTATACTATGAACATCAGTATCTAATGTCAATATCTAAGGCCTGACATAATAGCCCATAGCAACTTAGATAAATGGGACGAGTAGAGAGGAGCCCTGGAGTTTATGTCAAATGAATTAGAGCAGTAGTTTAGTGAGCCAATGTGCCAATTTGGAAATGGATTGTTTTATCTTGCTAAAGAGCTCTTTTTAAAATAAATTACGATCATAAAGCTGCCACCATTTACTATGCATAGACATGTTCAGAATTGGATCTCCCCATGAAAGCTGCTTTGTGCAGGTATTTAAGCTACTGCCAATAAGGCTAACAGCTCATCAAACAGAAAATCTGCTGCAGGAAAATACATGGGGGTTGGGGTGGCGGGGAAATGGTCAAAAAATATTTTGCTGTTATTCTGAGTGTCTGGTTAAGGTTTTCTCTGAAACAAGCTGACTTTCTAAAATTGTTTTATAAAGATAATCTCCAAAGCCTTTAAAATAATGTAGCCTTGAATTATTGATTTTAATCAGTGTTCAAAACAATTTTAGGCAAAATATGAGAAATCAGATGAACATGTTTGCCACAAATAGTGCCAACAGTTTATGTTATTGATCTGAGAGAAACTCAGATAAAAATGAATTCCACTGAATGTGTGTGTAAAATTAAACAGTATTCTTTCACACTAGAGATTATTCTTTATACTTGCTTTCATTCAAACATACTAGCTTATGTTTTTTTATAGCATATTGGAATGGCAAATTTATCTCTGTATCTTTCAAATTGTTGAAGAAATTACCAGAATGCCTTTTTGTGTGGTTTTATATAGTACCTCCTATGGAAGATTGTAAGGATCAAGAGCCTATTATGGACAACAATATTTCTCTGGTGCCTTTTGAGAGACCTGCTGTCATAGAGAAGCTCACGGGGAATATGGGAAAACGTAAAAGCTCCACTCCACAAAAGTTTGTGGGTAAGCAGTGCAAATGCTTTTGTTTCTTTACCAGGTGACCTCAGTTGGAAAGGCAAGTTCCTATGTATTAGAAATATATATGGGACATCTTAGGTCATGAAAAAATATTCATCTCTTCTCCATTATTCTTTTCTACTCCCTGATACTCCATCGACATCACACTTATTTACACACACACACACATAAACACACTTATTTACACACACAAACACACCCTTAGATATACAAGCATAAGAAAGAGAAGTAAAGACTGCTAATCATCAGTCTCCATCTAAAAATATAATAATATATAAATTGAAATAACATACAAAATAAAATATTATTAAAAATAATTACACGTTATAAGGGCCCTATGATCTAGCCTTTTAGCCAGCTTTATAACTGTTTTTAATTTGGCAGTAATACCAGGATTTTTACTTTTTTTAACATGGTATTAATTCTTTTAGTATTTGATCTAGAATTAAGAGATTTTTTTTTCCCCAGAATTCTACATTAGAAAAATAATGTAGCAACCTACATTCAAGATACTTCACATGTGGATCTATACTGTATATTTTGATCTTTGTTTTCCATCCAGCCTATGATTTTGAACTGAAAAGATTAGATATCATATATTTAGACTTGCCCTTTTCATATCCAAACCCTTAGATATTCTTTGGTACGCCCAGTGCTGGCATCATTCTAAATGCATGCTGTAAGTCATAGAGTGTCTCTAAGGATTTAAAAAAAAAAATCAGCTTTTTTTTTTAGAAAGTAAACTTATATTCAACAGAAAGATTTGTTAAAGAAATGTCACTCACTGTGTATTTAATATATATATTCTTGAAGACTTATGTGTAGGTAAAAATAAGAAGAGAAAAGTACTAAAACAGATTCTCACATTCTAAATTCAGCATTGTAGGACATCCTGATTGAGGGGTGATTAGGAGAAAACCTTTTCTTTGGTTACTTCAGAAAGGAAGGAGTAATAAAATTCTGTTTCCATAACGTTTTGAGAAGGTTTCCTTTCTATCTAAAATCGAAGAACCAACAAATCAACAAATTACTGCTTTTTGACCAGCTGGTGGAATTTAGTAAGAACTCACTGAAAGAAGCCTAATGAGTGACTCTAGGGGTCATATTAAGTCAGTTCAAGACTGTACTCAGAGCCCTACGTTGGGAACTTCTTTCTGTTACCCTTTCTTCTTTTTTATAGGTATCTTTTAGGGGGAGGAGGAGGGAAAACAGGAGGTGGGAGATCAGAAACCATTACATTTATTTTTAAAAAATTAATTTATTGAAGGACATCAAATGCTTATATCCAACTAGACACTAAGTATAGTTGGAAAAATAAGAAATTTGTTAGTATTCTTTTTTGTCTTCTGAATTTATATAGTCTATTCTTTGTAACATTTTTGTCATGTTTCCTATGATGGAAATGCTACTCTTAATTATATTCCTTAGAAAAGAGACAGATTTTTAGAAAATTACAGTATGAGTCTAAAGTAATGACATTAGATGTTTTTATGAAGAATGAGATTTTTTTTTCTTTATTTGGATTCTATCCTAAGAAGATATAGCAAAGAATAGCGCAGTGACTATTTCAGTGCTTGTTCTTGAAATGAAACTTTTCATCATTCCATACTTGCCCCAAATTCCTTTTTTCCATCTCCCTCATTTAAATATTATTCTTTGACCTTGTCAAGGTCTCCTGGCCAATGATCTATGCACTTTATGCGTTCTGTGTCTTCTGGCACTCTCATGCTAACATGCTTGACTCCTGCCTTGTTGTCCTGCCACCTTCTCTTGGTGAAACCTCACTATCTCATGGAGCTGACTGAGCATTTTTTCCATATTTATACCTCAGCGCGGCTAGTACTTTGGAGAAAAATCCCACAGTCAATAGATAAATGATTAACTAATCTCCAGTATCAGCTGGTCCATCCATACTATGTAGCAGCACTCCTCTAATCTCTCCCCAAACTTCTCTCCTGCTGCTATTTTGAACCTTTGTTCTCTGAAAGCTTCATATCTTATGCCTAGGGAATGAGTTGAAAAGATTTCAATATATTACCAATCCTATAGGATCATGTGCATCTTCGTTAATATTTTAGTCTTTATTTCCTTATTTCAGTAAAAGCACTATCCCTCCGATTCTCTCTTTTGGTGTCTGGAATTTTTCTATTATGTCCCCCCAGATACCTCACATGATTAGTTTTCCTTTTTCTCACTTGCCTATCAGTATTTAAGGTGATAAATTATAACCTTTTAAAAATTCCTTCAAGCCCAAGTCTCCTTCTAGTTATCACCCCCTACTTTCTCTTTCTCTTCAAAAATGGAATTGTTGAAAGAATTATGTACCTACTTTCCATGACTTCTTTCTTTCTTTTTCTTTTATCCTAGTTCATGTAACCTCCTTTCTTCCCTATGCTCCACTGAAATTATCCTCTGGATGTTGCAGCTTTCTTTCACAGTGCCAAGTCCAGTGGACCCTTTTAGGCTGTATCTCTTACCCAACTCCTGGCGAGCATTTGCCACTTTTGAATAGTCAGTTCCTTCTGAACATAATCTTTTCTTGGCTCCATGACGTTGATCTCTCCTTCATTTCCTCCAGCCAGCTTCCCTAATTGCTTCTTCTTATTCCTCTCTATGTACTTATCCTTTTCAACTGTGCAGAAGTAGAGTACAATGGAGGACGCCATTCATATGTCTAAATAGTTTACTATTTTAAATAAAGCTGAAAAACAGATGTTCTACCCTCCTAACTTAGAAGGCTAAGTTCACATAAATATAGGATTCTCAGATTCCTTAGTACTCCACACCAGACATTGGCAGCATGAGCAGAACCACCTTCTGGCCTGCAGCCAGACCCCTCCCTTAGACCGATTCCTGGTTCTCTGTTATCAGAATGGTGCTCATGCACACATTTAGACACTCCTGTCTTGCATTTCCAAATTCTTTTTATACTGCACACCTATCACAAAAAGAGTAGTATCATGGCCATGCGTCAAGCTTAGGTGAATGCTCATCAGTGGCACAGTTGGTATTCAGGAGAATGGAACTCATGAACAAAACTGTACAGACTGGAAGCACACTTGGAGCCATTTGATAAAGGAATTCTGGGGTCTGAAAGTTCCCAGACTATGGTCTGGGCAGTGAGCCTGATAGGCACATTCTTTTTAAAAAAAAATTCATTTTTTAGTTACAGATGGACACAATATCTTTATTTTATTTTTATGTGATGCTGAGGATTGAACGAAGTGCCTCACACATGGTAGACGAGTGCTCTACCTCTGAGCTACAACCCTAGCCCATTCTTTTAGCCCTAGAAACTCCTCATTCCATGATGGGCAAGGCCTAGAGCTTTCTAAACATGATGCCAAGTTCAGGAATACCAGTTGGCTTTATCTATAAGATGACATAAAATTGTTTCCCAGGTTCTATTTCTGACTCTTCTTCACAGTTTACCTGTTGCTGAGTGATAATAGTGTGTCCCATGCTTCAGATCAACTTCTATCAACTGATGACTCTCATGTCTACATCTTAAACCCAGATCTCTCTCCTAAGTTTGACACTTTATCTAGGGGCTTACTGGAATGACTATTACTCATAGTGCCCCCAAACTGAATTTATCATCTTTTTTATCTGTCATCCACTAAGTTTCCCAAGCCAGAAAACTGTGCTTCATGCTTCCTTTCTCTTTCTCGTTGTCTACATCTAGCTAAACATCAAGCCCTGACTACTGTATTTTAAAATTTCATTTAAAAATACATTTCATTTTAAAATCCATTCTGTTGGTTTTTTCTCCATTTGCACTGATATTACACAGTTCAAGCCACCCTGATCGTGATAGTAACTTCCTAAATCCTCTTGTTAAATGAATATCTAATCAGACTATTTCCCTGTTTAACCCCTTCAGTTCCTATTGCTCTTAGGATAAAATTCCAATTCCTTTGCTGTGAATGAGCCCTGTATTATATTATCTGGTTCATCTTTATTATCTGTTTCCTCTCAGGTCTGCTGAAATATAAGCACTTCCTTATTTGTAAGTCATGCCCTCTTGCCTGAGCTTTCCCACCAGAGGCTCTACCCCCACGTTTCTTTGCTTGACTAGTGGTGGCCACCACATTCTTATTCCTGACACCACCTTCTTCGTGAAGTCTTTCTTTCTTCCCCTAGTATGAGTTAAATATGTCTCTTATTTGACCCTATAGCATACACTGAGCTGTATTATAAATGGTCATTAAATTGCTGTCATTCCCTCAAAACTGTAAGCTCTTTGAGAATATAGATCAGGTTTATGTAACGTAACTTTGAAACTCTTGACATTACAATATCTTAAATTGGATGCCATGAAATAACTTCTCATCATTTTTTCTTCAATTTTTTATTACTCCAATCATTACCCTGATCTGTCTTTGGAGCCATTTCTTCAAATCTGAAATAATACTGACTACCTGAATGTGCTTTTCCAGAATGCAGCTCTCTGGATCCACTTTTGCTATCATGATTATAAATTATATTTAGCATACTAAATGTAAGAATTCTACATATATTTTTAAGAAACATTTATCTATAAGATTTACCTATTGGAATAACTAGACAAATACCACATTGTTTTAGTGACAGAATTTTTAATTGACAAACTATTGTGTCATCTGCAATATTTTGAGAAAAATTAAAGTTACCTTTCCTATTTCAGGTACCAAAACTGTTGTATAGTTAATGTTCAGGCATTATATTGAATATTAGAGTAAAATTATATTCATTTAAGTAAATATTAAAGAAAAACCACAAAGATATTTTAAGCTAAAAAAAACACAGAAAACTAACAATGTATGTCCATAACAGCATCATCACGCATATCTGAATAAGAAAGTGATGATGTAAAAATGAGTAACTGTCAATTTTTAGCAACAAAGTTATAAAACACGAGATCCTCCAAGATTATGAGCAAGTACATGTAGAAATAACCCCTAACTTATTTTTTAAATTTTTTTAGTTGTCAATGGATCTTTTATTTATTTATATATGGTGCTGAGGATCGAACCCAGGGCCTAACACATGCCAGGCAAGCGCTCTACCACTGAGCCATGACTCCAGCCCCCCAACTTATTTTTAGCTAGCCTCAAACTTCATTTTACTAGGTGATGCAATTTTTAAAAGTATTCTAATAAGGACTTTTTTGAATCCTTCACAATGATATACATTGTGTTGTCGTTTTTCTCAAATAACAGTAAAATAAACCAAATTAATCCTACACAAGAGTGATGTGAGATATTATAACCAAATAACTCTTGCTTTCATGATCTTAGTAGCTTGGTCACTGTATTTGAAATATGCAAATCAAGCATAGTCTCTGACTTATTTTCACCTCATATTTATTCTTTTGCTAGAGTCCCTAAGCTTTATGCAAGTAAGAAAGTCAATAGAAAGTGAAAACAAGATAAACATACCTTTCGGGCTAAATGTGGTCTTGTGATGGCATTAGAATAAGTTCACATGACTTTTTGTGACTAGTTCTCTTTTCATAGTTAGAATGTCTCTGGGTCTCAGCAAAAGTAAAGAGCCCAAACACTGGGTCTAAAGAAAAAGATATACCATTTTATGGAAAAATGGAAGTGATTTCTTAACTTTATTCCCTTTTATAACTTTTAATCCGTTAACTGATTTCATTATTTTTTCCTTTTTCTTTTCTCTTTCTCCTCCTTCCAGGGGAAAAGCTCATGCGATTCAGCTACCCAGATATTCATTTTGATATGAACTTAACATATGAGAAGGAGGCTGAGCTGATGCAGTCTCACATGATGGACCAAGCCATCAACAATGCAATCACCTACCTTGGAGCTGAGGCCCTTCACCCTCTGATGCCGCACCCGCCAAGCACAATCGCTGAGGTGGCCCCAGTTATAAGCTCAGCTTATTCTCAGGTCTATCATCCAAACAGGATAGAAAGACCCATTAGCAGGGAAACCTCTGATAGTCATGAAAACAACATGGATGGCCCTATCTCTCTCATCAGACCAAAGAGTCGACCCCAGGAAAGAGAGGCCTCTCCCAGCAATAGCTGCCTGGATTCAACTGACTCAGAAAGCAGCCATGATGACCACCAGTCCTACCAAGGAAACCCTGCCTTAAATCCCAAGAGGAAACAAAGCCCAGCTTACATGAAGGAGGATGTCAAGGCTTTGGATACCACCAAAGCTCCCAAGGGCTCACTGAAGGACATCTATAAGGTTTTTAATGGAGAAGGAGAACAGATAAGGGCCTTCAAGTGTGAGCACTGCCGAGTCCTTTTCCTAGACCATGTCATGTATACTATTCACATGGGCTGCCATGGCTACCGGGACCCACTGGAATGCAACATCTGTGGCTATCGAAGCCAGGACCGTTACGAGTTTTCATCACACATTGTTCGAGGGGAGCACACATTCCACTAGGCCTTTTCATTCCAAAAGGGACCCCTATGAAGTAAAGGACTGCACATGAAGAAATACTGCACTTACAATCCCACCTTCCCTCAGATGTTGGCATACCGTTTTTTAAAAAATATTATTACTGTCAATAATTCTTATTTTGTGGACGCAGTGTCATTTGCTCTGCCTAATTACAATGAGGAAGAAGCAGAAGAGAGAAGGGACGGGGAATATTGTTTCCTGATAACTTGGCTTGTTTATTTTATGGGAACTTAAAGCAGTTCATATCTGCCACATATAGATATAAGGCATACCGTGCTTTGAAAAAATCACTTGATTCATATAGATTCACCTAAGATATTCTAATTTGCCACTGATGTTCAGGATTATGATGGAAGGCAGGAAATTTTAGGGTTTTCTGGGTAGGACTTCAGCGATTTCAAATGGTATAAGTAATTTTACTCTTCAAAGAAGAACTTGTTTCAAAATGTAAACTGGTTTTTTGTTCTTTAGAGATTATGGAATACAAACACATTGTTATTTTCAGTGATAACTCCTAGGATGAGTTCAGTCGTCATGGGTTCTATGTTTACTTCCCCTACGGAATTTATAATTCAGTATGTTTTACACTGTACCATATAGCAAAACTTTTAAACTACAGGTAGTTAAGGACCACTGTAATACATCTGAGGTCCTTTGATCTTATTTTTCTAAACTTAAGCACTGTTTTTCCATAGTTTTGATGACTGGCATTTTATAGACACCCTGGCAGCCTTACTTTTAACACCTTTAATAGTATTTTTATGTAGTTTTCAGAATAACATATGGTCTACAAGAGGGGATAAGAGGCAGTCAGTAATTTCCAGGTGGGACTCCACTTTTCATAAATTTGGGATTTTTTTTGAAAGTTGTGATGGCGGCATAGTATGTGTATTTGTTTCTAAAAGTATGCTTACAGTTGTCACTTTATCAGCATTTAATCAGTGTTAACCAGTCAGCAGAAAAATATAATTAGGCTAACAGTAGGGGGAAAACCCACTAGAAATCCCTTTTCTGGTATTTCTCTCTTCACTGGTTCTTTCAAGCTGTGACCACTCAGTGTTGTGTCCATAGTTCATTCCTCTTTTACTCTTGGAGTAGAAGGTCCTAAAACTTGTGCTATATAGGCTACTTCATTCAAAATCTTGAAGCAATTGCTTATTTGACCTGAATGTGGTAACTTGAACCTTACAAGGTTATTGAACTAGGGCTATTCTAGTATTTCTTCAGTAACAATATTCACTACTTTTGCTGCAGAGAAAAGGGAACTTCTTTGTAATCTGTTCACTGGGCTACACATCAAAGAAGCAACAAAATTTGCTCTTATCCTTCTTATAGTATAGAATATGACAGAACCTTCGAGCAAAAGTGCTGCACACTTTTCTGTGTTTTTTTTTTAAAGACATTCATCCCTGTAAATCCCTTAGTACAGAATTTTCCATCTTTTAATTTATACAGAACATATGTTGCCATATTTCATGTGCAGATTTTAATTTCATTTATGTGGGTGTTCTTTTTTGTTGTTGTTTTTTCTTTCCATTCAACAGCATTAGAGGGGAGGAACCAAGTGATGCTGATTCTCAAGTCATTTGAGGGGAAACAGGGGAAGGTAGAACTTGCTGCTTGTGTTTGGGGAAAACAGGCCTGACCATGACTGGATTATTTGATAAACATTTGTGAATATTGAACTTTCTATTAAGCAGTAACTAATTGCTGCTCTAAAAGATCATAAAATAGAATGCAACAGTGTGGTGTGAGAAGTATCAAGACTAGAAAACTGTAGTCAGATTAGCAAATCTGGCCCCAGTGCTGCTGTTAATTCATTTTCTAGTTTACCGTTTGCTTATTTAAGCAACGTCTAAGCACTAACACATAACTGGGTAAAATTAGTTATAATTTGGCTCTCTCTTTTACTAAGTCCTATCATAATTATTTTTGGAGAAATGTCCAAACTGTTCCTTTAAATCTGAGAAATGCACCAAAACAGAGATGTATAGAATGCCAACTGTTTTTTTTTTTTTTTTCCTGCATGCCTTGGTACATTGTGAACATTATTCAAAGATAAAGCATGTCTTTGAGGCTTTCTCACCCCCACCTATCCTAACTCCTTCCAAATCATAATTGAAATGACATTTCTATTTTCCTTTTAGATGAGGTTAAAATAATTTTAAGGCTCATGATTTTGTGTTTTACTGTAATTTAGGGAAACATTTGGATGCCAGTCAGTATGTTCACAATTTTGCCTGTGTATGAATTTCTGCTGGCATCATTTATGAATTTTATTTCTTTTTTTTTCACTTGAATAATCACTTACCTACCTGCCCTGGGATGAAACTGAATTTAGGTGGACCTAAAGAATTGTATAGTTCCCCTGTGAAGACAGTACTAATGCACTCTCTTTTTCTGATTTCATTTTTATGAGAAACTATTTACTGAAAGGAGCTAATACTTGTGAATGTATATTTGCTGCAAATGTATACTTGCATTTTCTTAGCTTCATGATATGAGGAACAGAAAGAGATGATGGATCAAGGTGTGTCTGGGACAAATGAGGACAAGGTCAATTCACATTTGTAGGTTAGAAAGAATTTTTGTGAACACAGTGCTTTCTGAGAAACACTGGATGGCTATATTTGCATGCCCCTTCATCAAAAAGGGAAATATGCAACGTGGTAGCACCTAAAAATAAATACGAGGGTCAGACACAAAATAAATCAAAGGTTTTACATAACAGTTGTATGCCCAATTTATTTAGGTGAGATTTCACAGTGCAGAAAGTATTTGAGGGGCATGAAAATGGGTTATCCTCTGTATTTTCCAATCTGGCAAAAATCCAGAAATTCATCACATCTCTTTGCCCTAATTTTGCCCAGATTTTTTTTCATCTCCAGCTCTTTTTGGAAAAGATTGCTGCCTCTTTGGAATAGTGATAGTCTCTTTTAAAAAGCCATAGTAGGCTTTTTAAAACAATGAAAGTGGCTAGTAGGCGGATAGAAAGAGATTTGAAGATGTTGAAACATTCCGTTAAGAATTTTCTGGAGGGACAAAATAGAAGAATGAGAGCCTAGAATTCGGATTGGGGACAAAGTAGGAAGTTTCTGTCTTACATACATACAGGCAGTTGTATGAATCAGTGCATGTGCTGTGCGTGTGTATCACACACATTCTTTAAAAGGAAAGTCAAGAAGCAAAAAGTTATTAGATGTTACAAGAACATAGAGATTTAAAATTATAGTTAATACCTGATTGTATTAAAAAAATAATAAGATGTTACTAGTGTGTCTTTAGGACTAGTGGCAATTATTAAACTTAAATCTTTGGGTCTTTATGATCTACTTCCAGAACAAAGTGAAACAATGAAAAAAATTTAAGATGATTGATAAAAATTTAAAGAAACATAAATTCATTTTTGAAAAGGAAGAAAATATAGAAAAAATAGTAACTTTTACTTGTTGGTAAATAGACAAAGAGAAGAATATTTTCATGAGCTTTTAAAAATTTATTGTTTTTGTGTTTCAGTTATACAACTCCCAAACCATGAAGTGTTTAGATTTTATAGATGTTTATCAAAATTTACACCAGAGAAGTCATCCAGATGAAAAATTATGTTTTAAATATTTTCCAAATCTTATTTCATCCTATCTCCAAATGGTTTGTTGGGGTAGAAAAAGAACATAAGAGGCTGCAGAAATATAAATAAAAAACTATATGCCCCTAATTTTTAACAGACAGAATTTAAACTATAAGAGAGGTGCTACCTACATTTTTTAAAAACTTTGGATTGTTCATTTTGTTTTTTAAAAAAGTTACATTTGTGGTCCTCTTCAGTTAATTTTATATATTATTTTAGTAAGTACTCTCTGTTTGATTGTTCTATAGCAGAAAATTCTCCAAATGCAAAAGAAAAAAAAAAGTGGGAGTGAAATTGAAGTTTGTACATACAAAAGTTATTTTAGAAATATTTTTAATTCTCCAGTTTCTGCAAAATAATTAAAATATACAGTAACTGGTCTCTGAAAATCCTGAATTTAATGTATTAAATACTTATAAACATTTTTATATTGGTGCCTTTTTAAAATGCATTGAGAGTGTTGGTTAGCTATTTTAGCCCTACAACACTTTTATTGTGTATTTTTTAAAATTACTAATTGAATACTGTATAATTCATCTTTATGTTCTTAGGGAAAACTGCTAAAGCAATTTTCAATACAGAAACTTTCAGCTTAGCTGCTAAAAGCAAATGGAAACTTTGAAACCAAATTTTAGTTTTTTTAGTTTGATAGTATTTTTTAATCCCATCCCAATATTATATAGGTAAAATAGAAGGTGGGGTGAAATTTTAGCTGTGAATTCATTTATGGTATGTGCTTTTGTTTTGTTTTTAAGAGAGAATAAGTTCTGTATCACACAAGGATTTATTAGTAGAATTTTGAGTCCAAAAAAATGCAGTGTTGTTTTTAATTTTTATCCCCAGACTAGTGTTATTCTAGTCTTGGAACCTCTCTATCTTCTAATCTGTTAATGTTTTATGGAATAATGTAAAAAAGCAGATAATTAATTCTCCTTGAATGAAGCAAAACTGAACAGTTAAATCACATTGCTATCCTCCAAAGCCTAATCTCAAATGGTTTCAGACCATGGTTGTGTATTACCTGCAGTGGATGTGTTAGGATATGACAGCTTTTTAAATATGAGCTGCTGGTTATGTAAAGCAAATGTCATATGACCAAGAAGCTGTGATATGCTAGTGTTTCTTTTTATCATAGTGTATTGCTAGGCCAAATAATGACACCTTGAATATTTTTACATTTATTGCAGAAACCTAAAATTTTGGAATTTCCATAAGGTTTCCTATAACATTCTCTTTGTAGCTTTTTAGTTTTATCTTGCTGTACTGTAAGTTTGTGGATATTTTTCACATGCACTCTCAGAAATAAGTTCTGTTCATGGGATTTTTCCCCCATATCATCATATTTGTATATTTTCTGTATAAATTTGTTATTAATTAACCTTTATTCCATACAGAATGGTACAATCATAACTAGTTTTCTAAGATGTCCTTTTTATTGTGAATAAAACATAAAATTTAGAGGCCCTCTGCTACACCACATAAAGTGTAGCATGTAACTTCATATAGGTACAAATAAGCCAGTTTGCAGCAAATTGGGCCTTTAGATTACCTCACATGACATACAGAAAGAAGTGCTTCTTGAACAGGTGGAGGTCACTGAATCCCCTACTATGCACTTACTAGGATTTCACTTAATTTAATTTACTGGAAATGGATTAAAAAAAAATACACTGTAAAAAGAGAAGGACTCGATTTTATTTTTTTGTTGTAGATTTCTTTTGTTCTTTTTTTAAAAAAAATAGTTCAAATTCTGCAACTATGATTAAAAAAAGAAGAAGAAAAGAAAAAAGAATTGTCTGTCCAGCACTCTTTGATTTTGAACATAAATCACTTTCCCTTTTTGTGACTAAATTCTCTTCTTAAATTCTTTACACTCTCCCCACCTCTCTCTCCTCTCTGTGCATCTTCCATCACTGTGTCTGGATGCCTTTGCCTGGCTTTCCTCCTACTGGTTAGAAGATTAGGTCAACTCTTACTTCAAATTCATTGTTCCCTTCAGTCTTAATTTTTTGTTTGTGATTTTTTGTTGGCTGTATAATCTGCTGACATATTTTTATACTCAAGTGTAGTTTTATATTAAAAAGAAAAGTGGTTGGATTGAAAAAGTAAGCTATATAACCTTTGTGTTACTTTCACTTTCAAATATTGGGTACCTAAAATATGACTCCAGAGATTATGTAATCCAACTATGGTGCATCTGCCTTCCTTTTTATCAGATTTTACCTTTTGATTTGGCTTTCCTCTGAAAATGTAAATCATGAGAGATTGAACAATTTTTTGCAAGTATTTAGAAAGATGTTAAAAATGTAGAGAAAAGAGTCTTAAATTTTCTCCCACTTTGGGAGAAGAATGCTTTAACATTACTATAATAATATTCCAGATGTGGGGGGGTGGGGTCCTCAGGCCCCATGTTTGTTCTTAACAGTTGGACCTTTTAGACCATGTGTTATTTGCAATCCTAGAATGGTTTTAAAAGATTCTCTACTTTCCTTCTGTACAAGTGCAATACTCCTCTTGAAGTCTTAAAAACTATGGTGATTTTTTTTTTCTTTTCAGAACTGTTCTATCTTTAGCTAATGATAAAAAGAAACCTGTGGAAATCTTAGTATGTTAAGGGACACAACAGGCAAAGAAAAAAACACTCCACTATCAAAAGGTTAGATAACATAGAAATCCCTGGTCTGGTCACGTGTTATCTTTATTTAGGCTAAATTTTCACTGAACTTAGTTATCTTTGCCTGAGAAATGTGACCTAAAGTTAAAATACCGATAAACTGAATATTCTTCTTAGATCCTGCCCAATGCTCTAATAAACTAATATTTAATATTTCTTATTTCATTTCTCATCTTTTGGAAATGAATTATGAAAGCACTTAGGTCAATTTTAAATGTACATCACCTATTTGGGAAAATTTTTTTTAATATATGGAGCAACCCTGTTTTCATACAAAATTTAAGTAAGAAGTATTTTCATATCGTTCATATTTATATGTAGTGTGCTGGTTTTCTTTCTTTTCTTTTTTTTAAATACCTGTGTTCCTGTAGTAAAACTGCTGTAATGTAAATACATGTTTTGTTAAAAAATGACATTTCTTTGGCATTTCTTTTAAAGGCAGTTACTGCATTTGTACAGTATGTGTCTTGGCCATTTAATTTTTTTTTTTCTTTAACAATACCAAAGGTAATTAGACGATTTTAAAGACTAATTGCTTGACAGTTTCTAGGATATTCTGAGTTTTAGAAGCAAAAAAACAAAAACAAACAAAAAAAAAGGTCAAACCAGTAAACCTCATTTTTTTTTCAAACTAATAATTTGGGAAAATAAAACTATTGTTTAAAAAAGAATATATATATAAATATATGTAAAATTAAAATTCCAGACCTTGTATGTCAGGTTTGCTCAGTGTAATGTAGTTTTTTTAAGGCTCAAATACCATACCTCAGAAAATGGGGTTTACTATGGAAATGCTGAAACAGTCTTTGCAGCTGTGTGACAAGTCACTCTTGCTATATACTGATTTGGAGACCTCCGCTAAACAGGTTTATCACTGCAGACTAAAATGTGGGACTTGTATTTTCTTTGTTTTTAATGCACACCCATACATGCTTTTTGCATGTATGTGGTAATGTGTATATGTGTATGAATGTTGTATATGCATGTGTGAGTGTGTGTCTGTATGTGTGTACAACTAAAGAAGCTGCAGAAACTTTGTAATACTTTGTGAAAAGGATTATATTATAAAGGTTTGTACTGTCTGAGTGCACAGCTACTGGAATAAATTTAGGGAATCTCAGGAACAAGCATATAATTTGTCCAAGATTTATTTCTTCTCAGAAGTGTAAGTGCAGTTTTTAATTCTGTATATTATTTAATATTTTACCAATAAAATAAACTTCTGACATAAAAAAGTTTGCTATAAAAACTTTCTGGTGAAAATTCTGTGTGTGCAAATACATCTTCCAAATATGGAAGACAGTTCTGTTGAATAGCACCAGGCTTATTATCATTGCCACTGTGTATGGGTCATACTTTTGGTCCTAGAGAATTGAATACATGTGATTCCAGCAACCCTCATCTCAATCTTTAGTTAATCTCCATCATTATATGTAGACCACTAAGGCAGAGAATGATTATATGGATTTTGAAGGAAGACATCTCTACCATTCAGACAGTTTTCATATAAATCTTATTTTACCTTTAAAACAAATTTAAGAGGTATTTGTGTCATAGCCTAACCCCTTTTTCTAGAAGAAGGAGTAAAACCTAAGGATAGAAAGTTGTGGCTCCAAAATGCACAATGAATTTCATATGTGGTCCAAGTAATGGTCAGTAATCAGAAAAGAGCATTTCTTAGGAGTCAGATCAAGATAAAAGTAAAAATTAAGTCTCAGAATTGCTCAATATCATTGGCATAAGTTTGGTTGCTAGTTCTGCTTCTTGTTGTACTGCCACTATGCAAATACAAACTTCATATCTCTTGGATGTTACAAATAGTTTATATTTTACTATGATAGATGTGTTCTGTAACAAAACATCTTCAGAACCAGAAATATAGATGGACATATGATTGCACACTCATTTTTTTTTAGCTTTAGCTATCTGCTAAAAGTCCACCACCACATTTGAGATAACTATTAGTCTTTTCTTTATCAATAAACATTTACAGAGTTTCATGGATATTTATCACATTCCCCAATGATTTCACTTTCAATGTCACGCAGAATGAAAAATTCTACAAATTCAAATGAAATTATACTTCCTTTATAATAAATACTAACCTAATAGGGAAGAGGGGTTGCAAATGAGAACTAATGATAGCCATGCGAAGAGGATGAGTATTCTAAATTATTCCACATGATGGGCCCCTTCAAAATCAGCACACACACACACACACACACACAAATTCTACTTTCTGATATTCACAAGAGCCAAATGAAAAAGATTCTTTTGAAAGCCATGCCATCTGTTCTTGACTTCCACTGAAATAGAGTCAGAAATGAAATAAATGAGATCTTGATATGATTGTAAGACATTTTATCAGGATACTTAAGCCCAAGGAGTTACCTTGAGATACAAGCCACATGGTGAAGGAATTTCATTTTAGTTACTTTTCGCAAATCTACCCCCTATTATTAGGATATTCTAACTAAATCTCATTTTTGTTGTCTATTTTGTTAGTAACCCTACTGAAATCACCAAATGTGATTTTTGTTTTTTAACCTTAGTAGTAGTTCCGACAGGGATACCAATTGACAAATACGAATTTGACCACTTTTCTCCTCTTTGGCATAATACCTAAAGGAGGTGTTTTCATAAACTACCCAAATGGGCAAATGGGAGAAACTGACCAAGAAGATAAAGTGATTGGGACATCCATAATTCCAAATAATAGTGGATCAAAGCAGAGAGAGATACAAAGATATGCTTAGTCTGAGAAAAGTCAATGTGTGAGTCTTTTCTTTCTATATCCTTCCTGCTGTTTTGTTTTGTTTTGTTTTTTTGTTTTTGTTTTCTTAACCCCAGACTATGTTTTCCATCAGATCAGCCACTTCTAACTTCAAATTTGTCTGGTAAGAGACAAGTCCCTCAAAATGGTAAAAACAGGTACTGCCCAAATTAGTGTTGAGTTGTTTGTTTTAGAAACCCTCAGAAGAGTACATGAACCTGACCATCAAACCAGTTGGAATGTCTGAGAGGAAGCAGGATTTTTAAGTGCTCCAGGAAGAATTAAAGGTAAAAAGGAAGTAAGGTAAGGATGTTTGTGTTGGGCTCCATTGTGCCTTAGGTAAGCATATGACTAAAAGGGAGGAGCCATTCTAAGTTGTCATTTTAAGGTAACAGGTGGAGCTGGGATCACAATCAGTTGTCTCTTCCCAGAGTGCCTAGTGAAATCCCTCAATCTGGAAGTAGGGGAATTGAAGAGGGAATTTGAAAAGCAGAGTCCCTCTAATATCAATGCCCTGGGCTCAAGTATTGGTTCTGATTTAGTGACATAAAAGCTTGAAAGACTGACCAAGGAAGCTTTTGAAAATGATGGCAGAGTCTCCAACTCAAGTTCCTAATATAAAGTAGGGGTGAGGTGACCCAGGGTATTTGGCTCTTAGAGTAGTAAAAGTGCATGCGAACTTTGAAAATGGAATATCCCAGTCCAGGAAATGAATGATCATATTTGCTTTCTTTTTTTCTTTCTTTCTTCTTTCTCTGGTTTTCCTCATTATGCCTTCATCTTTATTTCTCTGCATCAACCTTTGTTCTTTCTTCTGTGTTCTCTACATAACCTGCTGTCCTTGATCCAGTCACAATTCTGATTAATTGCTATAAAGTACAATCTCTTTCAATACGAGTACTTTAATGCATCCAGAATGCATATGAGTTTTAACCATGTCCTTTTTTACAAACACTTTAAAAATGAGCATGATGATTACTGACTTTTTCTGATTCCCTCTCAAAATACTCATGGAAAATGTATCTTCATTTTATTGGCAAGGAAACAGTTTTAGGTTGATTGTGATTTTGTTTGTAAACACCCCAAATCAGTGAAAAATCTAAAACTGGACTCTAGTCCAGATAAACTTAGCCCAGTATTTTCTAAACCACTTTATTCAGATTTTGATTGATAAACCACATTAATAAAAGGAAAAGCAAATATTGGAAAGTAGTGGCTAGCAAAATATAATTCAGCAGACATACCTTAAAGTTTTATTTATTCTAATTTTTAAACAGAATGATCCTAAATGAAGTCATTGGCACGGAGAGGAGAGCTGAGATATACAGTATTAAGTCATAAGAAAAAAATAACTGGAAATTAAAATTTTACTGCAGAAATGTTTTAAAGTAGATTAATTATTCTTGTTCAGTCTCTTAAAGACATCTTGTATTCTTTTTATGTAAGTGTGGGGTTTTGGTTTTTATTGAATTTCCTTCATGGTTAATGGAATTCTCTATCCTTTTCTAAATCAATATAACCATATCTTCTTACTCTTTTTTAAAAAATGTTTTTCATTGTGGAATATAATATATATATCAGCTTTTATTTAATGTATATAATATAATATATCAGTGTTTATACTTTATTTTCTGATTCCTCTTCATTTAAAAACCTTGAGCTAACGCACTCTTCATATATGAACTTATCTGTACTAGAAGCTCTAGTCATGATATCCAAGTATTGTCAATGATCTAGTTGTAATTTCTTTATATATTCCAAATTTAATGAGCAGTGTGGACATTGTGCTTATTCCTCTCAATTGTTAAAATTCAAATTTATCTCTTTACTCTTAATTGCATAACATAAAGCAAAAGCAGATTCATCCCAGTCCCAACTGTATGCATAGTGAGATGAGTGATGTATTAACCACGAAGTCTGACCTTCTGTTATCTACCCTTAGAAATGGGACATCCACTTCCATTTGGGATTCCTTGGCTTTGATCTGAAAATGTCACCGGCCTTCAGGGATGGTTGCTATAGTTGTGCCTCCCACCATATTCTCCTTGTCTTACATCTGCAATATAAGTAAGTAACCTCAGTTTTTGGCCTTCTGACAATCTATTCCTTATTTGTTCCACCCAATCCCATCTCCCTTTGCTATTTACTTATTTATTTATATCAGACCATAACATACATACATGTTACTATCATTGGATAACACTCAAAGGGAAAGGAAAAAGAAACACTGGAACCGCAAATGACTCATGTTTTTCCAAACTCTCAGCCAAATTATTTTTAATCATCCTAACAAATGTCAGTTTGGCTGTACCATAACACCAATACATTTTCCAACCTACAAGTATAAGCCCAGAGTCTACTGCTTTCTTCTTTAATGTTTTGACAAGTCTGATTATAGTTAAGAAAGTGATCACTTATTCACATAATGAGCATGGAAAAAAACTCTGCTGCAGGCATGAGTATAGACAAATAAGCACTTTAGTTTTCTAGAAAAATTCAATTAACTTTCCTGGATCTTTAAGATAGAAAGTGGATCATTGCCTAATTCATTTGAAATAAAGATGAACTCCATAGAAATATATCCATTATGTTTTTTTCTTTATTTTTAGTTATAACTCTAAAATGCATATACAACATCATCAATTTAAACTATAATATGCTGAAGAGTGCATTCTCTGCCTTAATTATAAAAATATATTTTTTGTCTTTTTAAAAATTATCAACCATTTTGAGAGACCTGCCACTAATTTCCATTTGATATCTCTCTGCTTCGGTAAATGTTCATCTGTGCCAACATATTTTGAACTCTTCTTAGAGTAAATTTATCTTGGGTTCATAGTTTCTAATTTATAGAAAACACTGAAGAGCTTGATATGATGTGATGACTTGGGGGCTATATAGAAATTTATTAACATATCATTCCACTGATATAGATTGTCTTAATGATATGGTTTCTCTTTCTTTGTTTTAAATAAGCAATTTGTCATAAGTATGTCAGGATACCACATATGCATGGATTAGTTATATTATAGTCCTATATCTGACTCATAGACGACATGATTAGTCCAGTTTAAAATAAAAAAAGCATTTATGAACCCCTGAAAATGAATAAGATGACACAGGATGCAAGTTTTTCTTTCTGTGATCATGTGGTTCATATTAATATCCATAGTCCTTGCCAGCCACATTTCCAATTCAAGTATTATTATTAGTTACCACGTTGAAGTTTATAAGTAGCTTTGGGCAATTCTAGTGCCCCATGGTAATTTGGCATATTTGAGCATCACATTATCAACAGTGGCAGCCCAGCAGCCTGTACTGGACAGCAAGTATCCCCCATGGTAAGACAGCACAGGGCTAAGTTACAACTTGTATCATTTATTCACTTTTTATGACATTTTAAGTCTATAGATTCACTTATTTATTTTCATTTGCTCTTTATTCTTTCAGTCTCTGAATGCT